TGATTATTATTATTTTTTTAACGTGTAGGTACAGGGTTCAACTACAGTAGTACACAGTTAGACAAACACAACTAAACAGCCATATCCATGTGGGATTCGAACCCATGACCTCTCGGCTTGTAGTCCGCAAAATGCAAATGAATAATGTAATGCGAATAATTTTTTTTAATTTATTGATCAATGATGAAAGGGCGAAGTTCAGTTTAAGCTGTTTACCATTTAGTACAAACTCAAATAAACAGCCATACCAATGGTGGGATTCGAACCCACGACCACTCGACTTGTAATCCGCAGCACTGACTACCACAGTGTGTGGTAACCACACCTCCGAGGGCGGTTATAACATAAATACAGTAAATAATATTAAAAAGAAACATTATACAAATAGCCGCAATGTGGTGATGTGATTGACTGTAAAAAGGCGCGTGGATATGTAGTCCCACCTCTAAACCCTCCCTGCGAAAGGTCTGCATGATCCGAGCTGTAACATTGCAGCATCCTGATGACCTTCTTTCCCCTACTTACAAAGCCCTAATTTCCAAGATAGTGTTTTTATTAGAATTTTCTGAGCTAATGAGGGGCCAGGTAGATACAGATAGAAGCATTAAGTTAAATAATTAAGCGCTGACCCCAGAGCGATTATTATTTTTTTAAATCTTAATAATCAGTATTGAATAATAATCAACATTTATTACCCATGTCAAAATAACATATTGCAAATGATCAAAACTTAACACATACAAATTCTGAAAAACTATTTTTTGTGGGTTTAATTTGAACAATGGATAATCAACAATAAAAAGTAGAATACATTTTAAAGAAATTGCCATTCTTTTAAATGTCACAATTACGATTTCCAATACTGTGCATAAAAATAGTGTAATTTTAAAATAAAATAATAAAACTTGGTTATTATGAAATGCAAAGTAATAAACACACAATTGGTTTTAACAAATATTTCACGTTTGGTTTCTAAAATAACAATTATATAACAAAATCAGTATAATACAAAATTTAAATTATTTGACTGTTTCAATGGGTTTCACGAACATTAGTTATTTACAATGCTCGGAAATGTACATTGGCTTTTTGCACCGTGGAATTTCAAACTTGTTTAATTACTACAAAATAATTTCCTTATGCCAATTTAAACAATGAAATTGGTGTTAATTTAATTTAAAATGCTGAGTTGAATAGTCACGGCATTGAAGACATTAGGTGCCTGAGCTACTACTTAAGTGTTATAAAATACATTCCAATAATACTTAAATTATGAATTAAGATAAACAGTAGGGTGTCCGTTATTTGGGCGATGTGCGAATTTTTTTGCTCGCACCCCCCAAAAAGTTGTAGTTTGGGAAAAAAAAATTTTTGGTAATTTTTTTAGATTTTTTTTTTTTAATTAACCCGTGCCGCAAGAGGGTTAAAGATTTAATTATTGTTAAAATATGATTAAATTTTGCCTTTCACTATAGGCTTACCACTCCACGATTTTTCAATGAAAAAAGTCTGTCGAGTGGTTTAGCCTGTGTCGGGAGTAGGTAAAATCGCAAATCGGATAAAAAATGGGATTAGGCTCTTTTCACATTCAAAGTCCTGTAACGTCGCCAGTTTTCAATAAAAAAATCTGAAAATTGGTATACTTATGGTTTTGACATCGCTGAACTCGAATCTGACATTTTCATTGATGACAGCTGTCAAAATAGCTGTCAAAAATCCCAAAAAAACGGTTTTTTATTAAAAATGCCCATTTTATGGTTATTTCATGCGCTGAATCTGAATTTGATGCACTTTGAATTATTTATTTTCATAAAACCGAAATCCAAATCACTCAATAAAATGTACAAATGATTGAACTGTCAAATTTTAAGTTCCAAACATAATTTTACAGGAGCAAATGGGCATTTTTAATAAAAAATCGTTTTTGGGATTTTTGACAGCTATTTTGACAGCTGTCATTAATGAAAATGTCAGATTCGAGTTCAGCGATGTCAAAACCATAAGTATACCAATTTTCAGATTTTTTTATTGAAAACTGGCGACGTTACAGGACTTTCAATGTGAAAAGAGCCTAATCCCATTTTTCATCCGATTTGCGATTTTACCTACTCCCGACACAGGCTATTCTAAAAAAACGATTAATGAAAAAAAAAACGAATTTCAGATTCGGGTTCAGCGGTGTTTGAACTATAAGAAAACCACTCGACAGACTTTTTTCATTAAAAAATCGTGAAAGGCAAAATTTAATCATATTTTAACAATAATTAAATCTTTAACCCTCTTGCGGCACGGGTTAATTAAAAAAAAAAAATCTAAAAAAATTACCAAAAATTTTTTTTTCCCAAACTACAACTTTTTGGGGGGTGCGAGCAAAAAAATTCGCACATCGCCCAAATAACGGACACCCTAATAAACAGTATCTATATAAAATTCTTCAACAAAATTAGACACAAAAAATTATACCTCGAAGATCAAAGCACTTAGCAACTTTAGTTTTTTATTTGAAATTCTATAATTATAATTTTAAATTTTTTTCCTCCATAACATTTAGAACATTTTTTCATAAAAACCTTTTCTCATGGAATAAGGAATTTTATTTCATAAGTGAGAACCACATTTTATATAAAAATAATATTTACATACCTGGTATATTATACTGGGAATCCTGTTTTGCCATATTTAAAGCTGTTTCATAAGCGATAAGTATAAGTTAAAGTTGATAAGGGGTCAAAGTTTAAGTCAGTAACTATAAATTAAATATCAAAGTAGAAATACAAAAAACGTTATTGAAAAACTAAATCTAATTATAACATTTTTTTATAAACCCGTTTTGCCTTTAGTCACTTAACAAGCATAACCCAAACAATTTGTCTTCCGATATGCTTGATTGCAACCATTTTTTAACACGTCTCAATGTGCTAAATATTCTTTTAATGGTGACCCTGGTTGGTGGTAATGCTAAAAAATATGTATAGCATTTTTTATTGATGCATAAACTGCACACCTCGGAAATATTTTGAGTTGGTTAAAATTTCTTTGCCTAATTTTTTGGGATGAATTTCCGATAGTTAAGAAACTGTTGGCATCTTCACAGAATCTTATTGTAATCTACTGTATTACAGAATATTTATATGAGATAAAAAGTAATACTATGTCCATTGGCTCTTTAAGTTTGTCAAGATGCTATTATTAAAGAAATTCCTCCAAATATCCAAATTACTTTTTATCGTGTTCGTAAGTCATATATTTAATTAAATAATGCAGGATATCGTCCAATCCTTCAATAAAAAAGTAAATTTGACACCTGTCAGATGGTTTCTTCCAATTTTAAATATAATATCTTAGTTGCCTTTTTTCATTTCAAAACACAAACACAAATCACTGAGTATACGAGGTGTGTTCAGAAAATAACGGGAATTGTTAAATTTCGCGGGTTCGGAGGGTCCGGTTGTCATACAATTTTCTTTATTATGTTGGTATACGAAGTATGATAAAAAGTTTAGCTGTTTTCATTGTTTACTTTGTCTGTGGCAGCCGCTAAGGTTAGACGTGTTTTATGAGCTCGGCGATTTTCGTTCGTTCGAAAGAAATGGATCAAAGAATTTGTATCCAATTTTGCTTAAAATATGAAATAAATTCTGTGAAATATTAACAAAGGCCTATAGTGAGTCTGCTATAAGTAAAACAAGAGTTTACAAGTGGTATAAGGGTTTCCAAGATGGCCGTGAAGACGTTGAAGATGACGAATGCCCCGAACGCACAAGCACATTAACAACCGATAAAAACATGGAAAAAGTGGAAGAAATGGTTATAAACCATCAGAGAAGTCGCTGATGATGTTGGTATATCGATTGGCTCATCCCATTCGAATGTTTTGTTAAATTTTGAACAAATTTTTGGCCAAAACAATACTGTAATGATGCCCCAGCCTCCATATTCGCCAGTCTGACTTTTTCCTATTCTCAAAAATAAAGAGAACCTTAAAGCGCCGTCGTTTTGCAAGCATGGATGACATTAAAACCCATCGCTAAAAGAACTAAAGGCTATCCCAAAGATCGAGTTTTAGAAGTGTTTCGAGCATTGGAAGAAGAGCTGGCACATGTGCAAAATATAAGGCGACAACATTAATGTAGACGAATAAATAAATATTTGTTTCAAAAAACGAAAATTCCCGATATTTTTTGAACACACCCCGTAATGAAACCAGCCAATCACTGATGCCTGACAACGGGCATAATGAGTTTATTATTCCCGTTCTTAGGCAAAAAAGTTAGAATAGTAATAATTATATACGAAGATAAAATGTTGTATGTCATGCGGCTGCGAAGTTTCTTTTTTTTTGCTTCGCTCAATTGTAAGCTTTCGCTACGCGTCCGCCTTCAAAATTTGAGCTCATCGCAAAAATTCTTACTTCTTAGCCTTATGACATAAATAGCTATTATACACCCAATCGTATTTTAGTTTTTGATAGACTCCTTATGTCGCATGTATTTGTCGCCGTAGTAGGTCATTTAGTGTTTTTTATTGTAAATGTTACAATATTTGTTGCAATAAAAGATATGTAACTAAGATTTAGATTAAAGGGTTTACATATAAGTTTTAAGATCTCAATACTTATTGTATTTATTGTAAATCTAATTAACTAACTTTTATTTTTAGGAATAAATATTACTTATTATTTAAAGCTTGATATGAATTATTAATTTATTAAAAATTAATAAATTTATAATAAATAATATAATAATAATAACTAAATAAATTGATAAATTTGGTACTAATATAATTAAAAAAACACAAATTTAATTAAAAAAATCCCAATATTAAATTAACTTAACTGGCATTTAGAAGTTCCTGTAGGTAATTCTACAATACATTTATTTATACGAGTATGTATTACCATTGTTACTTCTTGGCGTCTCTTACAATAATTTAAGCAAGAGTGAAGAACAGTGAATGGGGGAATATAAATATACTATTACTAAGCATTGACTAGAAGTACTTGGTTTAATAAGTGTATGTAGTTCAATTACGATGAAAACGGTAATGTTTTTGTTTTTACAGTGCTACCACTTGTTGGATATTTTTTTGGAACTAACCAAATAGTGTGCTTGGGGTGTTTAAGGTGAAAAGTGATAAAAGTGCACATATTTTTGTTACTAACAGGGTTGTTTTAATATATTTAATATTTCGTTAAATAAGATATACCTAGTATTTTTTTTATTTAGATGAAAGATCTAGTATAAAATTAAAATTATATTAAAATATATATTATGGATTTTATAATCAATATTATATAAAATTATCTAATGACATAAACAGATGTTAAGTAAATTAAATAAATACAAATTTTATTTAAATATACTTTTATAAATGAAATTGTATTAAATTTCCTAAGTTGATATTTTTTACAACACAATATTATTTCTCGATTGGTTCACGCTAATATTTTTATTATTTTCAAAATAGTGAATAATTTATTTATATTTTTAAAACCCAAAATAAATCTTGACTGTATTTAATAATAATTTAAGTATTTAATATTGATTTAAAAATGTTAAACTTATTAATTAATTTTTGGCAATAGACTTCTTTTTTCTAATTATTTCTAAATAAAAAGTCTTCAAGTTTATAAATAACCTATATCAGGGTAATGTTATTTTAAAATCCAAGTTCATTAAGCTTATCAATGGAATAATAGCATTATTAATATATTTATTTGCAAATAGTAATAAAAAAATCAATGACTTCACAAATAATTCTATACATTCTATAGAAAATTATAAATATAGTTTATAATTATAATAAAACTTTTATATTTATATTATATTTTTTGTTTTGTCACAGAAAGCCAATTTAACTAAGCTAGGGTATCCCTGTAAAAATTTAATTTTTGATTTTTTTAATTAACATATTTTTTAATCAATATTTTTGCAAACTATTTTGTGATTAGGGAATTTTTAATAATATACATGTAGATTGTAGAGGGTGCTCTTTGCGGCACTTTGGGTTTATATAAGAGTCATTCCAAATAAAAACACCAAAATTTTGATAAAAAAAATTGAGGATGATCTTTTAGGCAGTGTTGCCACCCCTATTACTTTAGTAATAGATCTGTTACTTTTAGCAAAAATATATTACCCTATTACGAAACGATGTAAATCTATAACTTTTTTTTCCTAGTAGGAATTTTTTTTAATATTCTATTGTGGTACTATTTTTGCCAGTAGCAACTTGTCAGACAAACTATTGTAAAATTAAATTTTTTTTGGTTTTTCTAATATAAGTGTTTTAAATCTTGTTATATATTTTAAATTTATTATTAAAAAAAATAAAAAAATAAAGAGTTAATTAAAATAAACTTATCCAAAATTTAAAATTTTGTTAATATTGGGTAGTATTATTCCCTTGTGCAATTTGATTTACATGAAATTATTGTACATTTAAATTTTATTTTTCATGTGATTTCGTACATTGTACGTACGTATAATTATTATCGTACAAAACGGATAATTATACTTTCTATGGAAAATTATCGTACGTCTGGCAACACTGTTCGAGTGTTTGACGTTTGTTGTGTGCTTAAATTTTTGTTTATAAAGTTTTTAATAAATTTAATAATTCAAATTAATATATTAATATTATAAATTAATAATTAAAATAGCATAAGCATCATGCACAGATTATAAAGCATCATGTAAAAACTCAATTTTATTCTAATTACAATGGTAAAACGTTAAAGAATCAAAAAAAATTGCTTCAAAATAGTCTATTACCTTAAATCCCAAATCTATTACATTTTGACGCATGCGTCTCTTACGAAAAAAAAGTTATAGGTGGCAACACTGCTTTTAGGTATCAAATATGAAAATCCGTTGCCGTTTTAATTTTTGAATTTTTTACTTTTAATCGGCACCCGTTAGAAATCTGAAATCGTGTCAATTTCTTACTCTCTTATAGTGGGCCAGAACTTTTTTCTGTGACAAATATTGAATTGATTTTAATTTTGTTTTACTGTTTAGTAAGTGTGTTTTCGATATAAATTATTATTATCCAATTAGTTAATCTCATAAAAAATGGTAAACCTAAAGATTCATGATAATTTGCCAATTTTTGTGATTTTTGTCTGGCTCCTGCGCCTATTCTGCTAAATCTAGAAAGTTGCTTTTTTCCAGGTATCAAGTACTTATACTCGTACAATAGAAAACGTAACTATTATTTTAAGTTTCTAAACTATCATTTTCTTTATTAAAAAAATTATTGAAATTTGATAATTCTTAAAATTAGTCAATTTTGCCCTCAGAAATCATTATGTTGAGGAAAAAATAAAAATCTTAAACTTTCAGGAAATGTAGTCCCCACCTTCATCTTTTCAGTCTAAGTAGTCTTGTTTTGTTATTTTTATCCATGTAAAAGATACATTTTTTTTAATGCAGTTAAGAAGCGATATTGTTAGTTTTATTTATAATTTAAAATTTTTTTCTCAACATAATGATTTCTGAGGGCAAAATTGGCTAATTTTGAAAATTATCAAGTTTCAATAATTTTTTTAATAAAGAAAATGATAGTCTAGAAACTTAAAATAATAGTTACGTTTTCTATTGTATAAGTACCTACTTGATACCTGAAAAAAATTAACTTTCTAGATTTAGCAGAATAGGCACAGGAGCCAGACAAAAATCACAAAAATTGGCAAATTATTACAAATCTTTAGTGGTTTACCATTCTTTTATGAGATGAACTAATTGGATATTAATAATTAATATTGAAAATATACTTACTAGGCAGTAAAATAAAATTACAATCATTTCAATAATTGCCACAGAAAAGAAGTTTTAGCCTCTTATAAGAGAGTAAGAAAATGACACGATTTCAGGTTTCTAAAGGGTGCCGATTAAAAATAAAGCAACTAAAAATTAAAACGGCAACGGTTTTTTATATATGAAACCTAAAAGATCATCCTCAAATTTTTTCATTAAAATAAAAAATTTAAATTCATTTTTAGTGTTTTCATTTGGATTGACTCATAAGCAAGTGTAACTTTGTAGTGCCTTCGCGTTTTTTTTTAAATATCACTTTTCTCAACATTTTTAAATGTCGATTCAAGGATTTGTTTTTGAAATGTTTGCATTTACAATATTTAATACATTTGTTTAAATTTTTATTTGCGTCAACTTTTTAAAGTAGGCTTAATTTCTATCAAACTGTCATGTGATTTGTTTTCAAATCATGCTAGCCTTTTTTACCATTTATTTTAGTAGTGATTTGTGCAAAAACGTTTTGTATATATTTTTTTAACATTTTGTTAAACAGTTGATTTTAAACTTGTATAAATACATATTTTAATTCATTGCCGCTCACATAATTTATTTGAGAAGTTGTACAAGAAACAGAAGCAAAAATGACAGTAAATATAAATTTTAACACACGCGGTTTTCTTAGTACCATTTTGCCCAAATTTTAACACAATAAAGTAGTTATATGAAGGGACAAAATTTAGCAAATTTTATTAAAATGGTATTTTTTTCATGTTACGGCACTTTAAATTTTAAAAACTGTTTAATTCTGTCTGAAAACGATTTTATTTTGCTAAAACAGTATTTTGGGCATTTTAGCTTAATCATTAAATGGGAAAAATTGAGGTTAAATCCGTTGACAGTTGACATATGTCAAATGTTTAACAAATAAAATTGGCTTTAAATTCTTCTTTGTGTTCGTCGTGGATAAAGTATACAGTAGTAGTAGTGGTAGTAGTAAAGAAAAATCTATAGTATAAAGCATACTATTATTCAACTCGTTTTATAAACTTCTTTAGACACTCGTTTTTATTAAACACTCGCTCACATAATATAACTAAAATAGCGTTTATAAAACATGATACATAATATACTATTATCCCATTTTAAATTAATTTTAATTGAGTACTATAATCGTGACTAGTGATAAATTAACATATTTTAATTTACTGACATAATCGTTGAAAAGGTCCACAAAATGATTCTTACTTATAGCAATACAAAAGTGCGGCAAATAGCAGAGGCCAGACATGTCGTACGAAATATTTTACATAATATGTTACGAATAAGAAAGCTGTCGAACTGTTGACAACAAGTGGATAGGGCTGTAAATTTCGTAGCAGTCTTAGGCAAAATCTACAAAAAATTTTGTTTGTATACGTCAGAGACCAAGCGACAATAAAAGCAATGGATTTTCCTGGCTAGACTGCTCTGAAACTCAACACGTTTTATACAAATGGCTGTGAAGTCAAAACTAAGCGAATAATCAATCTAAAATTTTGTATGACGTCGTTTTAAAAATGATTGTTTACAATGGTAATGCCAACTTTCCCCAGCAACGCCATCTGTCTTTAAACACGGGTACTTAATGATCATGATGATGATAATCATCAACTTTTAAAACCATGTTCTAATTTTTACAATATTTTATGTTCAGTGGGGATTAACAAAATATTATGAATACATTTACACGTATCTTTTAAATATTTAAAAAATCGGTCTTTAATTTGCGAAAACTATGGAAGATTACATGATTTTTATGGTCAATGTAATGGACCTAACTCATCTATTGGTGGTGTTTAGCGGTAACTTTATCGGTATTTGCGTTACTGTCAATATCCAACGTTACCGGAAAATATTCAGTTTTTTATTTCTTCGAGAGTTTGAAAGAAATCATTGACTGATTTAATGACGACCGAGATCGTGCAATTTGACACCACTTGATTACCTCTTAATGCTTAAGCCCGCTGCACAATAGCCCGTAACGGAAAGGGAACGGGAATCTAAACAGTTAATGGGGGAGAGACTAAAGCCCGCTGCACAACATCCCGGTAACGAGAACCTAAACGGTTAAGGTGAGAGAGACTCAGCAAACACAATCTATAAACAGTGGTTTCTTAGTCTCTCCCACCTTTACTGTTCAGATTCCCGTTCCGTTACCGGGCTATTGTGCAGCGGGCTTAAGAAACCACTGTTGATCTATAGTATTTGCTGAGTATCTATCACCTTTACAGTTTCCCGTTCCCG